TCTCTCTCTCTCTCTCTCTCTCTCTCTCTCTCTCTCTCTCTCTCTCTCTCTCTCTCTCTCTCTCTCTCTCCCCCTCCCCCTCCCCCCTCCCTCCCTCCCTCTCTCCCTCCCTCCCTCCCTCCCTCTCTCCCTCCCTCCCTCCCTCCCTCCCCCCCTCTCTCTCTCACTCTCTCACTGCTAATTCTGTGTATATTATTATATTATGTGATAGATTATATAAATTGATATCTCGAAAACTATGCATCGTAACGCATTGTGGTTTACATTTTTTTTCTCAGCGAAAGATCTATCAAATACACCTATCAAATTGAAAGGGCCCCGAAAATAACATTTTTGCTCTTAATGGTAACAATAGAATCGCTGTCGTGTTTTGACTCTACGTTTCTACTAGTTTCATTAAATATTACATCGCGCGAAATTATAACTTTGTCGGTACTTGGATCGTATAATCTATAATTTTTCGAATCGCCTTGATAACCTACAAAAATACATTTTTTTGATTTTGCATCAAACTTCTTACGGAATTCCTTTGTAATATGCGCGTATGCTATACTTCCGAAGATTCTAATATGCGCCAAATCTGGCTTCTGTTGCATCTATAACTCGAATGGTGTTTAATCGCGAGACATTGATGAAACGCTTCTATTCAGGATATAAACTGCTCTGTTTACAGCTTCTGCCCATAGTCTATTAGATAAATTCTTCACGAGTAACATAGTTCGAGCGCATTTCACGCGCCGCCCGACCGTTCTGTTGATGTACATATGGTGCTGACGTTTCGAGTTTTATTCCATGTGACGATAAATACTCTGTTATTCTTTCATTGCGGAATTCTGTACTATTACCACATCTAAAAGGTTTTATATGCTATCCGAATTTATTATAAAATGTAGCTTCGAATTCTTTAAAATATTTGAATATGTCACTTTTATGTTTTAAAAAATATACTGTACGAAAACATGAATGATCGTCCTTTAGGAGTAAAAAATACTTTGAGCCTCCCACCGAATCAATAGGCATTGGACCGCATAAAGCCGCGTGAATTAATTCACCTATTTTGTAACGATGCACCCCTTTCAACTGCATTGTCTCCCGGCTAACACCCGCCGGATGCCGCCCAACCGTCCGTCGGGCGAGGATACGGGCGCGGTGCGCCCACCTTTTTTAAACGATCCAAATTCGATATCGTGTGCGCGAGCGTTGCGGCTCGCAGCACCGAGCTCCTCTCGAACGCCGACGGGAGCCGATCTCCACCGAGTACGAGCGCGCGTAATACCATACCGCTTCGACCGTCGCGCGGCTCGCACGAGGATCGGCTTCCCCCCCTTCAAACCTACCGCTCCGGGGAGGAGTATAAAACTCGGTACCACGGCGAGAGACGACACTTCAATTCGAGAACCAGCACTAGCTCCGCTGCTCCCGAATCGAAGAGACCTATCCACATTTCCTAGGGCGACACACAAAACGGGGTACAGTGCTCTGTGCCTCGTCCAAGAACTCTTGGTCGTCACCCGAACTCTCGTGCTCCAGCTTCCCGGTTGTGACGACCAAACGGAGTCGAGAACACTTGGCCTCGCGACAAGCCGGAGCTCCGGACTCCCGAACCGACCGACCGGCCAGCCTTCACCTGACCGGCCGCTCCTTCCTTGCCACCGCGACGCGCATTTCGTTACCGCAAATCTCGCGCTGCCTACATCCGCACACCCTCGCTGTAAATACCGCGTCCTCCCCAGCCAGCAAAACGCCGCGTTCCGTTAAACCAGCGTATTAATGTTGCATTCTATAAGTACCCTTGTCACGTACTGCAAGTATTCGGTATAACCCGAGAGAATTCGTTGCGCCCACGTCAAACCAATGTAATCCCGCGTTTCGTTAAACCCGCGTATTAATGTTGCATTCTGCAATTATCCTCTACAGACCGAGAGAATCCGTTACGTACGTGTAAACAGATTTAATACCGCGTTCCGTTAAACCAGCGTATCATTGTCGCATACTGCCAATATTTCTTAATGTCTAACATCAAATAAACGTTTGTGTGTGAATTAAAACCCTGATTATTGTTTCTGGGCTTACCATCGAACCCTGATCCGACAAGCTAGCCCGAGTTCGATTAAAAACGGCAGGTTGTTATAACTTTAGTTCTTCTTGAACGTTTTTATTGGATGGTAATTTATTTGTAATTTATATTGTTTTCCTAACACACAACATTCACAGAAGAATGTATTATGGTCATCTAATTTTATCCCGTTTACTAAACTAGACACCACAGACGCGCGCTTCGCGCGCGCTATTTAGCTTTAACATTATGCAATTATTATTACACTATTAACTTCTTGATACACACAACTGTCAAAATATACGATGATAGCTGCAAATGAAGTAAGCGCAGCGAGAGAACCAATTGGCATCGCGGAAAAGCGGCAACAAAAAACTTCGAGATATGCGAGTATCGACTTAACATGCCTTTTCTTAGAAAGGATTTTTGTTGATCATTTCCCGCAATGCCTTACAATTAATATGCGCGAGTCGCTGATGCCATAAGCTTAAGTCATTCTTTTCAACGACGTTCGCTTCGTGTTTCGTAGTTACCTTGAATATCATTGTATATAAGTTATTTTCTTCACGCTTTCCACAAGCTACTAAGTCTTTACCTGAAAAAATAAGAGCGTTATCTGAAGTTAGATGTAAATTAAAGCTTTTCTGGGTAACTATACTGGTCGAAAATAAATTTTTCTTTAAATTAGGTACATAAAGAACGTCATCAATACGACTGTCAATCCATTTTCCGTGTTTTTGGATGTATATGGTACTGCGTCCTTTTACCTCGCATGTAGAATTATCGCCTAAGCAAACCGATTCATTTATCTCTACAAAATTATCGAACCAACTTCTTTGAAAAGACATGTGTTTATTCGCTCCGCTATCTAATAACCAAATATTTTGTGTATCCGCGTTTAGAATATCTTTTTCGACTTCCGTAACAATAAAAGCACCGTGACTGAGTTAAATTTTTGTTCATTTGATGTTTGACTCGCAGGATTATCATCGCGTTTATATCTCGGTGTATTTTTCCTTTTTTGGCAATCTCTCGTGAAATGACCTAGTTTGTGACAAAAGTAACATTCGTCAGATTTCTTATCTTTAGCTTTAGAATTCGGATTATCGGATTTCTTATTACTAATCTGCTTATTGTTCCTTTTTCCTATGCTCGTGGTCGCAAGCGCCTCTGCCGCCGTGTCCGTGATCGTCAGACGTTGTTCCTCTTTTATCAGCCGGTCGATTAGGTTAGCTCGAGTCTGGTTCTCCACGGGGATGCTGTCCCATGCAGTGATGAACGGGTTGAATTTCTCAGGAAGCGACATCATAGGCTGCATTCCGATATTCACTGTCAGTACTGCAAATCTATATTTTACGTCACGTATACTATAGATTTTCAGTACTGAAAGTTGCTGACAGTGAATATCGGAATGCAGCCATAATCTTTGTATTGATGGCCACGTCGGATAATGTCTCTCCTACGTCGTGCAGCTGCCTGGCAAGATTGTCGATTTTGGAGACGTGTTGCATCACCGTGTCGTTGACGCCCATTCTGTACTCGTAGAACCGTCATAATAGTATGGACTTATTTGCAGCACTGCGTTGCTCATAGATACTACTCAGTTTGTGCCACATCTCGTTCGCTGTTTAACATGTAATAAGATATTCTAGTTGCGAAAATTCCATCGAGGAGGCAAGAATACATTTTGCTTTCGCATTCTTAGAAACCCAGGCCGTGTGTATTGGATCTTCTTCCGCCGGTTTTAATGTCTTCCCCTCGACAATGTCCTTTAGAGAACTAGCCTCGAACATCTGGAATTTCCAGAGCTGAAAGTTCGTTCCGTTGAACTTAGTAATGTTCTTCAACTCGATCGAGTCACCCATAGTCGAGAAATACGTCTCCGTTTGACACCACGATGATAACCTCTTGTCAGTCTTGTCGGCTTAACCAAACTTATGTGTTTTCTCGATGTTCGCGCTCTAGGCCCATAATCTGTTGGGTATTATCTTGGATGTGCGCAGGTGTTGAGAAATCAGAATTAGCCAAATAAAAAGGACACAACTTTACTGTAACTGGAATCAGTATTACAATCACGCTCGCATGTCTTCAAACGAACGCTACCAAAAAACGAATGAATAATAAAGGGGAGTTTTAGCGCGCTCAAAAGAACACCAACCAAAAAAAGATTACCACGAGACGTGCACGTATTGTTGTTAGCGCCGCTGCGCCCAGACGTACCTTATTGGATATAATTATCACTAGGCGCGCGCTTATTTAAACACGAAAAATAAATCTATAAGAATTTTACATAAATAATTACCACGATTTTTCCCCTTTAATATCGTATAACACTTTAGACTGTTCAAAAATTAAAAAGAATATATACATCGTGTAATTCATTTTAAACTGAACATTTTTATCCGAATCGTTTTTCGTCAGGATTGAACACTTCCAAGATGTTAACGTTTTAAAAAGTACAGTTACCGAAAAATTCAATGTGGGTGCGTGTGCGTGTGCGTGTGCGTGCGCGTGTGCATGTGCGTGTGTGTGTGTGTGCGTGTGCGTGTGCGTGCGCGTGCATGTGCGTGTGCGTGCGTGCGTACGTGTGCATTTACATAGGAAAATACGCAATATCATATCTCCAAACTTCTCAACTAAAATATTAATTATTATAGATCTTTGGAAATATCTCAACATTAGCTACAAAATTTTGTTTTAAAAAATAGGATGTTCTATTTAAAAAATTAAAGGTGATTTTTACATGACCTTGAAAAATAGCCAAAAATTGATTTCATTATTACTTGTCTCTCTTCAGACCAACTTTTGTCTAAAACATTTTCGTTTAAAATTAAAAAATTTTGGGAGATGATTGTTTGAAATGAGACATCCTATATATTTTATTATTACTTTATATTTAATCATGTGTTAATTGTCATATTGTATAGTTGTATTTTTTTGGCAGTTTGGTGAAACTGAAGCTGAAACAGAAGAAAAAAGTGGTCTTTATTTGCCATCTGGAACATCTTACCATACAACAAGAAGACATACAGTTGGTCCTGGTGATGCAGTGCATCAGTCTCCTTTGTCATATCCTTACAATCATATGTCAGGCTATCAAACTTTACGGCCTTTTCCTATTCTTCAGTGTAATTTGGATCCTCAAGTTTTACCACACACGAATTTACCATTAAATCTTCCCTTAGTTCAACATCAGCCACCACAAAATTTCCAAATAAAGGATCAACATTTATTAAAGCCACCTCCTGTAATGGGTGCCAGTAAGTTTTATCTTGTTGCATAGAAGACATTTTAAAATAATTTATTTTGATAATATAAATTACTTGTTTAATCAAAGTTGATTAATGACAATGTTATTCTGAATCCTTTTTGTATAATTACAATCGTAATTAATTGTTATAAAATTAAAGAGCTGTTGTATTTTGATTTATTTTTTATGTACATTTTATTACAAATCATAGTTTTCGTATAACTATGATTTTTTTAATAAAATGAATATAATATTTTGTATAATATACACATATACATATACAATACACAAGGTGTCTCAAAACTCACGGAGTACAGGACGCGATTCTTTATGCTAAAAGAAACAACTTTTTCCTTTAGCAAAATTGCGTCTGACAAGTAATTTTTGTAGCAGAATAGATTAAAGTTAAGGAATGAGCGCTCTTGTTCATATGGCGCTCAGGGCCGGCGCACGTTTCTCAGTCGCTCGTATCTAGTCCTTGACCTTTTTCTGCATTGTATTGCTTAAAGCTTAAAATATGATAAAAGTTAACAAAATAAATATTGCTTATATTCCTTTTATAATAAATAAATAAATAAATAAATTGTCTGATTTTGTAGCACTATCTGAAAATTAAAAAATATGAATAGTTAAAAATATAAATATGCTTTGTGTGCTGAGCGTTCTGTTATTCTAAATATTGCACAATTATGTATAATAGTTAAATAGTATCACTAAACTTAAAGAATAGTTAACTAGAACGCTCAGCGCGCAAAGCATATTACTTAATTTACATTTTTTTAATTTTCAGATAGTGTTACAGAATCAGACAATTTCTTTATTCATTTATTATGTAAGGACTAGAAGCAATATTTATTTTGTTAACTTTTATTATATTTTAAGCAATACAATATATAATAATCAGATAAATTAATTAATGCAAAAATACAATTATATTAAAAATAAATGTTATAATTTCCAATGATCCTCCTTCTCCTTTTCCTTTTTTCTTTACTTTACTTTTCTTATCTTTTATCCTCTTCTTTCTCTATTTTGTCTGTCTCTCTTTCCTTGTGCATATATGTATTTGCATACGTGTTTATAAGTAAAAAATTGTTATTACATAATTTTATATATTAACATTTATTTTATTTTATTTTATTTTATTACAGAGATTAATTTTATTCTTGAAAATTTATATTATTTTGGTTTATATATAATTAAAATAAATATGTGATTTTTACAATATACTGTATATATTTATACAGCCGGAAGCTTTGGTAGAAGAGCTTCAGATGGTGGAGCAAATCTTCACATATTTCATCAACAACACAGTAGTAATGCTAATAATGATGAAGATAATGGCTGGAGTCAACCTGGCAGCAGGGAACAATTACAGCCAGTAAGTAAATATCATAGATATATTCCAAATGTAATTCAATATTATAAACAATGAGATAACACATAAAGAATGAGACAAAACTGCAATTGGATGTAAATTAAATAATTATTATTATTTAGTATAATCATATATGGTAATTATTATTATAATTTTTACATATATTATAATTTTAACCTTTAATTTTTTAATTAATTTGAAGCTAAATTTTTGCAATAGTTTATTTTTTTGATTTTATGAAATAGTATGACTTTTTTATTATTATTTTAACAAAAGGAGTAGAAATTTACTGTAAATAAAAATAAATATATAGAGAATATAAGTTACCTTATATTTTTATTCGAGTGTGTTATAGAATAACTGTATGTGAAATACACCAGGAGATCTTTGATACCAAACGAAGCAATTTTACGTTTACCAAAATTCTCTTTGAATGATAGTTTTTGAATGAAAGCTATTTTTTTAAAGTTGTTTAATTAGTAGTTGTATGCGAGTAAAAAGCTGTGTATGATGCAAATTGTTTTATCTCTATTATGCTGCCCTTGAATTTTATTTACCAAAAAATCTTTATTTATACATGCATACAATGTACATTACTGGACAGTTTTTATATATTTTGAGAAAAAAATTTTCAAGTTTTGTAGAAATTAAACATTTAGGAATAATAGATAACCAATTTATTGGACGTTCTTCTGAAACGGTTAAAAAGGAATACTTATGTTAAATTTTTTATAGAAAACTTATCGAATATATTTGAGAATTTACTATTACATATCTTGTGTGAATATGCAGATATACGATATAGTTTCAACATAATGGAACATCACCTTACAACAGTAGACTTAAAGACATTGTTTCAGTACAAAGTTTTTTAATTCTTGAATTAGTTGAGATAGTCTTGTCACATGGACAACAATGTCTGTTTTAAACCCGTTAGATTATTTTCTACGGGAATATTTGAAAAGTCTTATTTATAAAAATGTTGTAGAAATCTTAAAAGATTTAGAAGGACGACTTTGTAATTGTAACTATATTATACTGGAAATGCTTCAATATGTGCAAGAAAATCATTCGTAGAGCAAATGTTCACATAGAAATGCATGCATTTCGGGCATTTGCTATAAATAATATTCCATAACTTTTTTAAGGCCGTAAATATTTTTAAAATATCAAAATATAAAAAGTTGTGTTAAAGCATATTATTTTTTTTTAGTTGTTTTTTTAGTGGTATTTGTAAGAAATTTTTTTGCATATTAATTATTTTGTATAATAACATATAAGTACTATTCAAAATAACAGAGTATTTAGATATTATGCAGTTGTGTAATAAAATCTTTAATGAGATAGAAGAAAAACAACCTATATGACTCATGTGATATTTTACGGCTATACGCCTCTCTTGATTTGCTAGCAACTTATTGTTAGTACGCTTAGATAACTTTAAATAATTCTTATTTAAAAACTATTATTTGAATAGAATGATAAATTTGATAAATGAAAAGTTACTTTATTTGATATCAAGAATCTTCTGGTGTATTCTGTATGCAATTATTCTTGGTCATCTGGTATATAATACTTTGTATTGGCCTTTGTCTATTATCAAATTGTGTGATGTAAAGTAATCTACATACAAGATGACACAAAAATTTATGGAATTTTTTTTAAAAACATTAGCCACAAATAGCTACAAATTGGTATAAAAATTAAACATTTACACTTTAAACAAAATATAAAACTTTATTAGAATATTAATAACAAAATTAAGCAAATAAAATTATATAATTCTAAAGCGGCTTCAAAAATGTATTAAGGCAAAAGGAAACAATTTTGAGAATTTATTGTAATTTTATTTATTTAATTTTGTTATTAATGTTCTAATAAAGTTTTATGTTTTATTTAAAGTGTAGATGTTTAATTTGTGTACCGATTTGTTATTTGCTGCTTAAGGTTCTAAAAAAAATTCTAGGAACTTTTGTGTCACCCTGTACATTAGCATATAAATTCTAATTTTTGAATAAAAATATGTAAAAAGTTACAGAGTGGTAGTTCGGGATTAGTACAATGTGCTCAGTCATTAAATGTTGCTGTCAGTACTACGACGGGAGACGGAAGTAATAACAACAGTGTTAGTAATAGTGGAAATAGCGATAGAAGAAGAAGGAGTGGCCTTAGCACTGTTATGCAGCGACCAGGTATGGCATAGTTCAAAGTTGAATAATATGTCAAATCCTATTTCTTCTTTCCTACAATTATATAACAATTATGATTGCGTGGCTTGTAGTATTTTTTAATATTTATATGTTGTATGTAAAATTAGCACTATATCCAAATTTATATCTTTTCTGTTATCCATTTCATTACAGGCAATTATCTATTTTTTTCTTTCTTCATAAATGCTTTTATCGCGTAGCAAACAGTTGTGCAGAGAAAAGTATAATATGGTAACATATATTTGAAATGGTGGATAACAATATAGGCTGTTACTCTGAATAGTGATTTATATTGATAATGATATTGTATTGATAATTATAATTGAAAGTTACAATAGCAAACACAACTTTTCAAGTTTTTATTTAAAAAATACAATAAGATTATTATGAAAAAATATATATATTGTATTAACTTATATTTTAATATAACAAGAAATAATTTTAAGCAAAGAAGATTAAAATTTACAAAATCCTATACAATGATGTTATTTAAAACTGTTTTCTTATATTGTTTTAAACATTTATTTATAGAAATAATATATATAAAAAATTACGTTGATTGAAAAAGTATAAAATTGATCAAAATTTAATCATGTACAAAATTTAATTCTTTTATATTATTTTTGCGCCCACGGCAATATCACACTCTTTGGCACACTCGCTCACTCGCACTCGCATCCCACTTGCCAGAAATAAGATATACAAGCTCATAGGTGAGAACTAATTTATTACGAAAAAGGTACAGCTCGGCTCGCATTACACGTCTGTAGCTTCGTAGCTCAGCTTCGAATCTCGAAGTCATCTATTGTTCAATAGCTAGTTATCAAGGGGACGCTTCATGATTTTTCCAGCATGAATCTCTTCCGGAAGTAGTTGGCCAGATTCCCCTCTACCGGCTCCAGGACAATCCCCATCTTCTTTCTCTTTGGGGATCATCTGAATTTGCTCGGCGCAGATCTCTCTTTTTCTGCTCACCGAAGTCGTCGTCCTTGTCTTCTGAAGTTGTCGCCCTTTTTTCAGGATGCCAATTCTCGTCGCTCTCTTTAAAAAAACTTTGGTAATTATGCATATTAAGACTCCACTCGCCAATGATCTTGACCTTGACATATGTTATCAAGGTCATGACCCTGAGTAATCTTGACCTTGAAAAAAGTGGCGATCACGATTGGTTCAAAAGTTACGAAGCATTAAAGTTTTCGCTTTGCAAAATTGGTTGTATATCGCCACAAATATTCACACAGATGATCGACTAACTTATCTTGTTTAATACCGCCTCTATTTACAATCTTGTAAAGCACGCCACGAACCCATGTGACAACTCGTTTCGCGTGGAAAATATATGCGTGGAGGCAGTAGGTTCCGCCCTTCTGCGGGGGGCTCCACTATTATTAAACTAGACACAGTGTGCCTAAAGTACATGCGTTGGCTTTCCACTTCTTTAAAATTTTCATTTACTACTTTAAAAGACTTTCCTTTGTTCGTACATGTACTATTTCCACATATATATTAGTCATTTACAAGATAGTTAGTCGATCATCTGTGTGAATATTTGTGGCGATATACAACTAATTTTGCAAAGCGAAAACTTTAATGCTTCGTAACTTTTGAACGGATCGTGACCGCCACTTTTTTCAAGGTCAAGGTTACTCAGGCTCATGACCTTGACAAATATGTCAAGGTCAAGGTCATTGGCAAGTGGGGTCTTAATATGCATAATTACCAAAACTTTGAACTAACGGAAGAAAGATAACTTTCTGTGGACCTAACGTCTAAAAAACTTCCCCTAATCTCTGCCTCGGCATTCGTCCTAAATATTTGGTATTCTAAAAATCAGAAAAATTGGTATCAATGGATTCTTATGATCTTTTTGATATACAGACCTTTAAAACATGAAACTACCGACTGCTGCGGAGTTATATTTCGTCCAGGATCATAGATTACTAGCGGAGATCTCTTCGCGAGAAGGCTCATAAATTCGATATTATTTGCCTGCATAAAACCCTACTAGATCCTAATAAGAATATTAATATTAAAGACTTTAATCTTATCAGGTCAGATGAAAGTATCGCGGGATCCCGAGGGGTCTGCACCTTACTTAGGAATAATTTTGCTTTTTCTGTCCGTGATTTGTCGAGCTTTGCGCACTTTTTAGTAGAAATGGTTGCAATCACCATACCCTTTTAACGCCAGGAGCTTTTTATTTGCAACTTATAGACACACGGGTCAAGATACCCCTGCCCCTTTTTTTTGAGAATTTATTTAATTACGCTAAACAATTCAGGCACGCTCTATTCGTAGGAGACTTTAATGCCCACCGTCCCGACTGGAACGACAGACGAATAGACAACGTCGGTGAACTTATCGCCTCGTCTATTGCGGATAATGATTTCGTTATATTAAATAATGGATCCCCTACTTTTTTCAATCTGGCATGTAATATTAATTTTGTAATCGACTTGACCATTGCTTCTCCTGATCTGGTTTCTATTAGCGTTTGTGAAAGCGACGAAGATGATGACTTAAGGAGCAGTGACCATGTACCTAGTCACTCGCTGTTCGCTTATCGGCTAAGACAGGAAGGTCTTATCGTCTTTACACGGATTGGTTAGAGTGGACTGTATCAATAATTAATAATTAATAATTAATAATCAATAATTTAAGACCTTTTGGTATAACTTAACAAGTTTCGCGGGCAAAGCAAAGCGCTGTGCACCTTTCCGCGTAACTACCGTATACGCCGAACCAGAAGCAGTATTACGAAAGTATAGCAATAGATGCTTTAGTGACGATCTGTTACACACTGGCGGTTTTCCTTCGAGAGACCGCGCTCAGTCCCCTTTCAGCTCCTCTCCCCCCCCGCGGTCTTTCATCGGAGTCGAGCGGGGCGGAGAGGAGTGAAACTGAAAACATAACTGATTTTTACGCGGTGATGACTCGAACATGCCGCCCGCCTCGTCTGAGCGACGAAAAAGACCGGTTCTAACACTCTCACCGTAGTAAAATACATATATGTATACATATATAACGCGGTCATTCAGTCTTGGCGAGACGGACTAGCAAGTAATTTATTAAGGCAAATTAAACTGAAACTAGCAAAATTATACTAACAAGGGGAGGGCGCGAGGACCGGGAAACGGATCTGAATGAAACTTGTTCCTATAATAACCCTTCACTAACAGTAAAACATAGTAAAGCGCTAGCGCGCAACCTCAGCCGTTTTCGAGATAGAAATTCGTGGAAACCTTGCGACACAAGTCTACCGGTTTGCTAGCGCAGAACTTCGACGAAGCGGCGTAGCCGCGCAGCTAAGGCTTTGATTGCCGCAGCTAAGGCTTTGATCTTTTGCAAATCTTTTTTTTTTACTTCATTTTTTTTCTTATTAGCATTAATAATAAAAATGTTAAATTGAAGCAAAATAAATAAATTTAATAATTTTAACAAGAAATAAGCAAAATAAAGGGAAATGCTTACCTTACTTTTACAAAATGTTTTCAATACACAGTAATTAATAATAATTATTTCTCGCTGTATATATAGTATATATAGTATATATATTTCTTTATATTCTTGTTCATTGATTAAATAGTATAAACAATAGTTCATTATGTTTTATTATTTCAAAAGTGCTCCAACTTACAATTAATCATTGTCCTCAAATTTATTTATAACATTTGAAGCAGCGAGAAATAATTATTATTAATTACTGTGTATTGAAATGCTAGCGCTTTACTATGTTTTACTGTTAGTGAAGGGAATTATTATAGGAATAAGTTTCATTCAGATCCGTTTCCCGGTCTTCGCGCCCTCCTTTTGTAAGTCTATGGAACGTTCGATTTTATGTCTTCTTTAGACGGTCACTCGAGGGGGGGGGGGGAGACTGGCAAGAGACGCAATTTTGTGATTGGCCGGGTCAACTCTGTGGTCGCCGTACGAACAGTGGCAACGCGAACATACCCATCAGGGCCCGGGTGCACGGCGGTTATCCTCCCCATTGACTACTTTGACGGTGGTGAGAGTTCGCTCTTGATGAGAACCAGATCGCCGACCCGGAAGTTAAGCCTGGCATCCTTCCACCTTCCGGTCTGCTGCATCTGGTGCAGGTATTCTCCGGACCATCTGCGCCAGAAATGATCTCGCATCGGCGAAATCAGTCACCAGCGGATTTTTGGATGTGTGATAGCATCTGGAGCCTCTTCCGGTTCCGGGAGTTTCGTGAGCGATTCCCCCACTAGAAAGTGGCCCGGAGTCAAGGCCGTCGGGTCGGAAGGGTTCGTATTGGCAGAGCACAGCGGGCGTGAGTTGAGGCACGCCTCGACCTGGCACAGGAGTGTAGCGAGCTCCTCGTAGGTCAAAGCCTGGTCGCCCAAGACGTGTCGTAGGTGGTAGTTGGTGTTTCGTGGACTTCACGCCCGCCTCCCAGAGCCCACCGAAGTGAGGTGCATGCGGGGGGATGAAGTGCCACGAAGTTCCTTCGTTTGCTAACAGTCTTCCGGTCTCCTGGTAAAAGGTGGAGGCCGCCCTAAACATTGACCTGAGTTCCGCATCGGCGCCGCGGAAGTTTGTGCCGTTGTCGCTCCACAGCTGCGTACAACGTCCTTGTCATGCCACGAAACGGCGGAAAGCTGCAAGGAAGGCGCCCGTTGAGAGGTCTGAGACCGCCTCCAAGTGGCCTTAGTCACCAAGCATACTAAAAGACAAATATAACCCTTTTGCTGCACGCAACCTGATGGGTCCAGCGAAATCCACGCCGGAAGATATGTAAGCCCGGGCGGGTCGCAGTCTCTTCGGCGGTAGTCGGCCCATTTACTGGGGGCCGAATTCAGCCTTGAATTCGCGCGCAGCGCACGCAGCGGTGTATCTTCTTCCGGATTAACGTTCTCCTGCCCAGAATCCAATAGCGACGTCGTAAGTAGCTCTGTATCGGGCAAGGCCCCCCCCCCCCCGTGCATCGTCGTCGCGTGTCCGTGCCGCACCAACAAGCA